GGGAAAACTAACTTTGCGAACTGTCAAAGTCGTGAAAAAGTGCGTTTATGTTTATATTACACGAGGCAACTACTCCGAAATTAAAATTTTTAAGTAATAGAAGTTTACAGTAAAATTATTTTAAGTCCTGCTCGCGTTTCCGAATTTTTAATGTTTAAATAAATGTACTGTTGTTTAAATATTACTCTATTCTATCCCGCGTGCAATAAAAATCGTTTAAATAATTATGAAATCACCGAAAATATTAATTTATAAGCTTTATTGTTTAGAAAAGTGAATCGCGATGTGCACAGGTCGGAGGGCAAGGGAAAACTAACTTTGCGAACTGTCAAAGTCGTGAAAAAGTGCGTTTATGTTTATATTACACGAGGCAACTACTCCGAAATTAAAATTTTTAAGTAATAGAAGTTTACAGTAAAATTATTTTAAGTCCTGCTCGCGATTCCGAATTTTTAATGTTTAAATAAATGTTCTGTTGTTTAAATATTACTCTATTCTATCCCGCGTGCAATAAAAATCGTTTAAATAATTATGAAATCACTGAAAATATTAATTTATAAGCTTTATTGTTTAGAAAAGTGAATCGCGATGTGCACAGGTCGGAGGGCAAGGGAAAACTAACTTTGCGAACTGTCAAAGTCGTGAAAAAGTGCGTTTATGTTTATATTACACGAGGCAACTACTCCGAAATTAAAATTTTTAAGTAATAGAAGTTTACAGTAAAATTATTTTAAGTCCTGCTCGCGATTCCGAATTTTTAATGTTTAAATAAATGTACTGTTGTTTAAATATTACTCTATTCTATCCCGCGTGCAATAAAAATCGTTTAAATAATTATGAAATCACCGAAAATATTAATTTATAAGCTTTATTGTTTAGAAAAGTGAATCGCGATGTGCACAGGTCGGAGGGCAAGGGAAAACTAACTTTGCGAACTGTCAAAGTCGTGAAAAAGTGCGTTTATGTTTATATTACACGAGGCAACTACTCCGAAATTAAAATTTTTAAGTAATAGAAGTTTACAGTAAAATTATTTTAAGTCCTGCTCGCGATTCCGAATTTTTAATGTTTAAATAAATGTACTGTTGTTTAAATATTACTCTATTCTATCCCGCGTGCAATAAAAATCGTTTAAATAATTATGAAATCACCGAAAATATTAATTTATAAGCTTTATTGTTTAGAAAAGTGAATCGCGATGTGCACAGGTCGGAGGGCAAGGGAAAACTAACTTGCGAACTGTCAATGTCGTGAAAAAGTGCGTTTATGTTTATATCACACGAGGCAATTACTCCGAAATTAAAATTTTAAAGTAATAGAAGTTTACAGTAAAATTATTTTAAGTCCTGCTCGCGATTCCGAATTTTTAATGTTTAAATAAATGTACTGTTGTTTAAATATTACTCTATTCTATCCCGCGTGCAATAAAAATCGTTTAAATAATTATGAAATCACCGAAAATATTAATTTATAAGCTTTATTGTTTAGAAAAGTGAATCGCGATGTGCACAGGTCGGAGGGCAAGGGAAAACTAACTTTGCGAACTGTCAAAGTCGTGAAAAAGTGCGTTTATGTTTATATTACACGAGGCAACTACTCCGAAATTAAAATTTTTAAGTAATAGAAGTTTACAGTAAAATTATTTTAAGTCCTGCTCGCGATTCCGAATTTTTAATGTTTAAATAAATGTTCTGTTGTTTAAATATTACTCTATTCTATCCCGCGTGCAATAAAAATCGTTTAAATAATTATGAAATCACTGAAAATATTAATTTATAAGCTTTATTGTTTAGAAAAGTGAATCGCGATGTGCACAGGTCGGAGGGCAAGGGAAAACTAACTTGCGAACTGTCAAAGTCGTGAAAAAGTGCGTTTATGTTTATATCACACGAGGCAATTACTCCGAAATTAAAATTTTAAAGTAATAGAAGTTTACAGTAAAATTATTTTAAGTCCTGCTTGCGTTTCCGAATTTTTAATGTTTAAATAAATGTACTGTTGTTTAAATATTACTCTATTCTATCCCGCGTGCAATAAAAATCGTTTAAATAATTATGAAATCACCGAAAATATTAATTTATAAGCTTTATTGTTTAGAAAAGTGAATCGCGATGTGCACAGGTCGGAGGGCAAGGGAAAACTAACTTGCGAACTGTCAAAGTCGTGAAAAAGTGCGTTTATGTTTATATTACACGAGGCAACTACTCCGAAATTAAAAATTTTAAAGTAATAGAAGTTTACACTAAAATTATTTTAAGTCCTGCTTGCGTTTCCGAATTTTTAATGTTTAAATAAATGTACTGTTGTTTAAATATTACTCTATTCTATCCCGCGTGCAATAAAAATCGTTTAAATAATTATGAAATCACCGAAAATATTAATTTATAAGCTTTATTGTTTAGAAAAGTGAATCGCGATGTGCACAGGTCGGAGGGCAAGAGAAAACTAACTTGCGAACTGTCAAAGTCGTGAAAAAGTGCGTTTATGTTTATATCACACGAGGCAATTACTCCGAAATTAAAATTTTAAAGTAATAGAAGTTTACACTAAAATTATTTTAAGTCCTGCTCGCGATTCCGAATTTTTAATGTTTAAATAAATGTACTGTTGTTTAAATATTACTCTATTCTATCCCGCGTGCAATAAAAATCGTTTAAATAATTATGAAATCACCGAAAATATTAATTTATAAGCTTTATTGTTTAGAAAAGTGAATCGCGATGTGCACAGGTCGGAGGGCAAGAGAAAACTAACTTGCGAACTGTCAAAGTCGTGAAAAAGTGCGTTTATGTTTATATTACACGAGGCAATTACTCCGAAATTAAAATTTTAAAGTAATAGAAATTTACACTAAAATTATTTTAAGTCCTGCTCGCGATTCCGAATTTTTAATGTTTAAATAAATGTACTATTAATTTACAAGTATTAATTTACAAGTTTTCACGTTAAGAAAAAGATATGGTGATGTGCATTCGTCAAAGTACAAAATAAAACTAACTTCGTAATCGTTAGAGTTAATAAAAAGACCGTTCATGTTTATATTACACAGGGCCAATTTCAATATAAAAATTTTTAAATAAAATTAAAAATTAAGTAAATATCACTGACGTGATATCTCGTATCGTCCTTCCAATGGTCCTTCTTGTTGACATTATCGAACGACGAAGGTTGAAAAAGGAAACTATTCTATCTAAGTCGTCTTAAGTGCTACCACGAAATGTAATGTTGTTTAACTATTACCTGATCGTAATGCTAGCGCACTGTAGATTATTTAAACAATTACAAAATTGTTTTATCTGTTAGATGATTAAATCTAGTGGTAGGGATAAATTCTATTTCGATGTTTAGCCTTCTGAGTACGAAAGGAGAGACTGACATAGTGATAACTCGCATAGTCCTTCGAATCTTGTTGACATTAAACGATTGGACGCATGCTGAAAGAAAATTATTCCAAGTCCAAGTGCTATACGATGCTTTGCAGATTGTAATGCAAGCGCGAAACTCAAGGCAAGCGTATAGCAACGTTTTGCTTTAATTCTTTTCCTAGTATCTTCGATATTGTTTGCATAAAACAATAATAAAACCTGTAATACATACATTATTTTCAGATCTACGTGATTTTTTTCTCAACTGGAACTCTTTTCTGCAATTCGATTTCATTCTCCAGAATATCTGTTAAACGCGACAATGTCTAAATTCGTGGCCTCTTAAAGGTCGCATGTTTAATTATCAATTGGTATATATTAAGAGGTTGTAAGTTAAAAAAAATCTAAAATCATTTAAACCAAGGAGGACGATACAAAGGTATGTCGAGGTTGTATGGCGTCACGCCGCGCATGCGTAATCCAGGATAAACTTCGCGCCTATATTTGAATGTATGATGAAAATTCGATATAACCTGAAATACAATATATGAAGGCTAATATTAATGAACAGTTATTAATTAAAATTCCGTAGAAAGGAAAAAGTATTGAACAAAGTATCTCGATATAATTAATTAAATTCGAAATGTATAATAAATAAATTAGAAAATAAAAGTAGAGAATACAATTAATAAAATATAAATGATTAAGCTGAACATTGTTGGTATCGAGTATGGTAGAAAAGTATCGAGGACGACTGAGAACGATGCAAGCGTATATTCACTATCTCAAAACTAAACGTAATCGTCTAATCATTTCATCTTGATAAAGAGACGATCATTTATATATTGTTAGGCTTATTTCAGGATAGCCAACATTACAATTCGTAAGAAGAAGGCGTTCTCAAGCCTATATTTATTCTTGTCCAATGAGCATCCTGCCGTAGAATGATGCACCAATACAAAAATGCCTCTACTATGAGGAATTGCATTAATATTCAATTCTTGTGTATCGTCTGGAAGAAAGTTTCTACAGGATTACTTTTAGCTGGTGCATCGTCCGTTTGTTAAAATATACGATATATATATGTATGTATATATATATGGATATGTATATATATATATATATACACACACACACATTAATGGACGATTAAAAAGTTAGGCTAGCTCTTCCGGAATTCGATTGGCTGTCACGAAAGGGTTTGTGGAAGCGTAGCTCTGTCAGTTGATTGGTCGTTCGATTCGATCTAGAGCTCACCGTATTGTTACTTGGAGAAAGCTTTGCCGGCGGATGGTTTTGCCTTGCAACTCAGAAATACCTCATATTGTTGCTTTTATTAATCCTATTAATTACATCGATATTCTCCAGTAGTTGTTCATCCATTTAATATTTAACACTAGTAATATGAATGCATATCTTTTTGTTTTTTACTAAAAGAAACTTATTACCTTTGACAATTTAATATGTCCAGGTTCCACTGTTAGAGAGAAAAAAAAAAAGGAACAATAAGGCGAAAAGGTTATTAATCGAATTCGTGTTGAAACGAAACTAATATGTAGTAATCTATAATCGTATTAGTACGATGAGAAATTCAAAATTCTTCCGCGTTAACCGACGAATCTTTCGCAAGGTAGACTTCCGGAATCGCATTGCTCGAATGGCGGACACCGTGGTTGTCGTTTCTGTCAAGTACAATAGTTTTGATTCTGAAAACTCATGTAATATTGCCGTGTCTGATTTATTAGAGTGGAGAAAAACGGGGTCGCGCGAAAAATCGAAATATTTTACATCTACTCGGTGACTACTTTAATGATCGTTAAAACGATCGTTAGCGCCGGTATACCCGCAAGTTTTCGTTCTGTCACACACACACAAAAGATAATAATCAAGATTTCTAGCGGGAGGCACAAAAGGCGAGAGGAACTTGAAATATATTTCAGGGGGATAATAGGAAAATACGGAAGGGCCTGTGTAAACTATGCGAATCAGATGATTCGAAGGGCTTTGCGAAAAAGGGAAATATCGCAGATTTGAGTTAGTTCCAAATTCGTGTCATTATGACGTACCGAACTTCGTACACGCGATCCTCCTTTATTATACAATTTTCCTTTCCTTGGATTCGCATAGAGATATTAATTATGTATTTTCCATCGTATTAACATCCCATATATTAATTCTCTATGTGACTGTGATAGAAATACTCTGTGTCTTCTCGTCTTATTTACTTATGCCGAATGAATGTCGAAGCAAACACCATAATATTTCATGAGGTTTTTTTTTTTTTTTATGTACTTTTAATCCTAAAATATTATATTTTCGTTCTAATTGTAGAATTTATAAAAGAGCAATATTAGTGCAATATTGTGTGCGGCTAATAAACTAATAAGTAAAGATGTTCTTCTTTGCTTTGTTCTTTTCTTTTTGTTTTTTTTTTTTTTCCTTTTTTTTTTTCTTTTTTCTTTTTTCTTTTTTCTTCTTCTTTTTCACTTTTTCATACAATATCTCATTTCATTCTAGCCAATCGAGCACAATGCTTCTTTTCACCTGCCTTTACAATGTGAATATAATATATATTACAAGTGCATTACAGATATAGTTATGGAGGATAGTATGAGTGTCAAGTCTATGGAATCAGTGGCAACCAGCGATGAATATGAATTTGTGAGTGACAAGGGTACTACCAAGCAACAACAAACGTTACTTGAGGCGCCGATGTTAAAAATTGCCAATAACGGAAATTTAGAGGATCTGCAAAATAATCTTCGTGAGGTACGAAGGAAGAAATTAATGAAAGGAAAGAAAGATCATGAGCAATGACAATAATTGTTTATTTACTCGTTCAAATCCCTTAAGGTATTAACGGAAGATTCAAAAATGGAGGGTAGAGATTACAAAGTAACAAATCCTGTCCAACAAAAGGCCAAGAAAGTAGGACACAGCAAATTTTATGACGTTAGTTCCTGTATAAATGGTACAGAAAAGCAAGACGTAATGAAACCTGATGATTTCATAGAGGAGGGTAGGTAGCATTTGTTTTTATTCTACGACTAAGCATATTCAATGGATTTGTTATAAAAGAAAATTTAAAAATTGCAAAAGGAAGGTTTGTATGTTTTAGAATTAAACACATTATCGCATGTACAACAAGAATGCACAATTTTCAATGGTGTTACGTATCTGGGAGCTGCAGCAATAAATGCACCAAAATCAGAATGTGAAATACAACGTAATATGAATATTTTAAATGCCGAACAATCTCTTAACCTGGGTATTAAAATTTCAGTCTCTGTACCGAGTAGTTCCCAAGGTTCTGTCGTGTAAGTAATATAAAAATTCAATATGCTAAAGATAAAAGGTAAATTGAAAAATTCTTCTTTTTTTTGTTTTTTTTTTGTTTTTAATTATAATATAATAAAACGTCCTAGGGATGAAACACTTTAATTAAATCCTTTTGATTAAATCCCATCTTTATCTTCTTCTTATAGTTTATACGATGCTGCCACTCAGCAACCAATTGCCCATTATGAAGTACAACGAATTTTATTTTACGCACGTGGAGAAAGTTCTGGACTGTGTGCCGCATGCTTCGCTTTCACATGGTCTCATGGTGATACCTTGGAATCTGCTATTTATCAATGTCATGTCTTTCGATGTAATATACCAGAAGCAGTAGGTCTTCTATAATTTTTTTTCTCCTTTTCGATTCCCATATAATATGCATCATTAATTAATTCGTTTTTCCGTAGGTTGGACAAGTGTCAGCTTGTTTCTCTAAAGCCTTTCACAGAATACCACGTTCAATGACAAATTCTTTAACAGGGAGTGACTTTAATAATTATAACTCGGGCGGTGAAAAAATTAATTCTCGTGTATTTATTTTTGAAGTTACCATGGAAGTTAAGGAGGAAGATGGTAAAGGTGGTTTTAGTACTGTTCCTAAGGACAGGAATTGTTTCAAATTTCGGAGTAATATAGCAAAGCAAGTTTGTTTGAGTATACAACAAGTTTCCAGTAAGGAAGGAGGTATTACTCTTGAAGTTGAGAGATGTTTTGGTGTTCTTGTTAGTCCAGGACGTAATGTGAAACATAGTGATATGCGATTACTTGAAATGGTATGCAATATTAATTTGTCATTAAATTCATGTAAAATTCATATAAAATAATTATATTATAATTAAACCATTATTTCTATCTGTGCGTGTATATCATCATACGCATGTACATTATGTATTTATAAAAATTATTACTGTTACAGCAAGTCAGTACTGGCCCAATAGTCCAGGATCGATGTTACAATATATGTGGCCAATGGGATCCAGCTGATCCAGCTTTGGAAACTCTTAATATAGAAACACCTAGAGAGGGCAAAATATTCATGACAGTAGCAGTTGATTTAGTTATACGAGGTATTAGGGAACCAGTGAGATTCGTAATCGAAACTCCTGTTAAAGTATTTCCACAAAATGAGAGATTTTGGTACTTTAATAAGAGAAATTTAGTCCAACAATTTTATCTTAACTCTAAAGAGGTAAAATGCTTTTCAAATACAAGAATATTCTTATTACACGAATTACTAACGTTACAAAGTTTCATAAGATTGACTTTTTTACTGCAGATAATATCTGGCGATGGGAGTGAAGTTCATTACGAGGTGCAAAGTATAGAAACATCAGGAGAATTAGATAGAAATAGATTAAATCTTGCTCTTAATTTAGCTTCCTTAATCAGATCGCCCTCTTTGACTAGCATTGACACTTTAACTCCCAAGGAGGAAATAGATTCAGGTTTTTATTATATTATAATATAATATCCAGATTTTATTATAATATAATATAATTTCTATAATGACAATAATATATATTTTCATTTACATCCATATACAGATGGAGATGAGCCAATGTTAAGTGGGACAGGTGAAGTATCAAAAGATTGTTCTGCAGATGAATTGGCAAGCTGGGGAGAAGTTTTGGACAGTTGGCAAATTAATGATCAACGTCCGAAGCTTCTAATAAAACTGACGAAACAAGGAATTCCTGAAGCATTACGCGGTGAGGTATGGCAACGTTTAAGTAATTGTGACAATTCCCAGGAAATGATGGACAAGTATAGAACACTGATTACTAAGGTTAATATATTTGATTAATTTCCTCCATCCTCGCTTTCTCCTTGTTATAATGTCACACATATATATATATATATATATATATATATATATATATAAGTAACCTATATAAAATATATTAACAGGAAAGTAGCTGTGAAAGTGTTATATTAAGGGACATCAACAGAACATTTCCAGCACATGATTTCTTCAAAGAAACCGGTGGTTTAGGCCAGGATTCTTTGTACAGAATAAGTAAAGCTTATGCAGTATATGACGAAGAAGTTGGATATTGTCAAGGTTTAAGTTTTTTAGTTGCTAGTTTATTGTTACATGTAAGTAATCAATAGATGCCACCTAAACAGTTTATGTATGCATCATCCATATATCATTATATTCCCGATTCATTTTAATGCTTCTTATTTATTGACATTAATTGACAAAATTTGCCCTTTTGTAGATGCCCGAAGAACAAGCCTTTTGTGTACTTGTAAGATTAATGTACGATTATGGTTTACGAGATTTATACAAAGACAGATTTGATAATCTTCACATGAGATTTTATCAATTGAATCGTTTAATAGAGGTTAGTCAAATCATTTTTATAATAAAGACCGTGACATGATTATATTTTCTATAATTATAATTTGTTAATACTATTCTCTCTTTAGGATCAACTTCCCGAACTTTATAAACATTTCTGCGATCGTGGTGTTGAAACACATATGTTTGCAGCACAATGGTTTTTGACTCTATTTACAGCTAGATTTCCATTGTATCTTGTATTCCACATTTTAGATGTTTTCCTCTTACAAGGACTCGACACTCTCTTCCAAGTAGCTCTTGCATTGTTAATGGTAAGTTGTCTTAATAATAATAAACGTCTAGATCAAATAATCATCTGATCATTACAAATAACGAATAAATCAATGATTTTCTTTTTTAATCTATTTACAGTTATGCAAAAAGGAGTTATTACAACTGGATTTTGAAAGCATTTTAAAGTACTTTAGAGTGCACTTACCTAAACGTTGCAGAAACGAGGAAATATCACGTTATGTAATGAAACTGGCCTGTTCCGTTACATTGAAGAAATTGAAGAAATATGAAGCAGAATTCATGACATTAAAAGGTAATTTTATATTTTATGTTTGAACGAATCAAATATGTATATAGGTATATACGAAAATTTCTATAATTCTTTTTTCGTACAAACATACGTGTTTTATGTGTTACTTCAAAGTAATATTACTTGCCAGTGTGTATGTCCTTTTTATAAGGTATAACAAATACGTTTATTGAAAAGGTTTTACATATACAGGTAGTTTCTAAAACGTAGTACTTAAAATTAACGATGACAATTTTTCAAGAGACTAGTCAGATTTAATTTGTCACATGATAAATATTAATCGAGGATCTTTAACAACGCATAGAATTAGAATATAAATTTAATGTTATACCTGTATTTTTTAAATATAACACGTAACGCATAGCACTTAAACGTGTCATAATCGATGTTATCGAAATTCTACTGATTCTATTCATATGTTGTGTGTGTATGTATGTGCGTGCGTGCGTGCGTGCGTGCTTGCGGGAGAGTTTGGCCGTACGTGTATGTATGTGGGTGCGCGTAATCGCATATGGCACAAGCTTTATGTTATGTACCAAAGTAAAAATTATGGTTCTAGTCACGTAATAATGTATTTTTTATATGGGATAAAAACCCACAAACAAAAAATCAAAATTGCTTTTTTTACTTGGACTTATTTTATTTATTCTTTATGTAGCTATTTGTGAAGACAAAAATTTTACTTTCAACATCAAATTATGACAAGTATAAAAAGTATACTCTTCATATAATTTCTAAAAAAAAAAACAGGTGGTGGTAATGCTTTTTTATCATTATTTTGCAAGATAAAATGATTTGCCATTATCATTGTATATCGTTGTGCTCTTTAATAAATATTTTAGAATTATTTTGTCCATATTCTATTTATAAATAGAAATTTCTGATTAATGCACATAGTTCCATGGCAAGTTTTGTTTTGGCAAAAACATCTTTCTTGTATGTTGAATATTTGTTTATTTTATAATATAACATTTTGCGTGTATCTACATATTCCTTGTGCTTATCTTTTTTACTGTTTTGATGCAGTAATAATTTGTACTGCTTTTTATTTATAAATTATTTATCATAGCTCACTGAAAAAATAAATTATCCTTTTAGAATATTGTTTACTTGTATCAATTACCTTTTTTTATCCTAGTTATCCTATAATTAATAGAACAAAGCTTTCACTTACTACACAAAGAGCTGCATGAAAGATTATGCATATATAAAAGCATAAACACTTTACTAACGAATTTTTTACGAAATTTATTTTAAGTTATATCAGTAATATCACTTTTATTGAAATCCTTCAAAAAAATATAATTATCTGAATAATATTAATTTAAAATATAGAAATATAGAGATAGAAGGGGAGAAGTGAGAAAATATGAGTAACATTAAATTATCTTATCTAACAATTCTTTGCATGGGCCTTGATGGACTTAAAAATCAGTAATGTGCTTATAATGTAGATTAATGTTATTAGAACATCGTTAAGATGCTTTATTGCAATTACTTGAATAACAGTAATGAATATAGTCTTTTAAAAATAAATTCTAAATTATTTATAATAAATATCATGTAATGGATAATGTTGACAAAGCGTTAATCTCCGTTTAAAGAGTATTATCATAAAATATTATATATAAAAAGGCAAATCATAGACATTACATAGAAAGAAAAGAAAAATCAACATTATATAAAGTATTATAGATTATAACCATAAATATAAGCATTCATGATAAATATTCATATAAATTATTTTCATCCAGAGGCTCAAGAAAATGCAGATGAATACAGTAATGAGGTGGAACAATTAAGAGGTACAGTTGCAAGAAATGAGGAAGAAAAGCAGAGATTGGAAGCAGAGCTAGCTCAAGTTAAAGAAATGCTACAGCGTGAGGTAACAAGAGCCGATGCAGAGAGTCGTCGAAGTAATATTATTATTGCTGAATATAAACAGGTACTTAATCATTTTGCAAAATGTTTAAGTGCATCTGTATCATGATGAATCTTTTGTTTGTAGATTTGTCAACGTTTGGAAGATGACTATAATGCTGCAAAAGCAACTTTAAGTGAATTACGGGTAAACAATTTTTTTCAAATACTATTGAATTTGGTATATGTAGAAATCATGATAAAGAATAAAACATTTTTTACAGTCTAAGGTATCAAGGTGTGATAAATGTAGAACATGCATAATGGATTCATCTAGTATATTAGCAGATATAGCACATCCTTTAGAAAATCGAATTGACCCCATGCTGCATAGAGTACAAGAAAGAGTAAGAGAATTAGAATTAGAATTGGCACAGACAAAATTAGCACATGTGGAAGCAGAATGTAGAAATCAGGTAAATTTAAAGGATGTGTGTGTGTGTGTGTGTGTGTGTGTGTGTGTGTGTGTGTATGTGCAAAGGATATATAATTAAATAATAGTGTAAAATTATTATAAAAATATAATCTAATATATAGTAAACATAATATAGGATTTAACACACCAATTACATGCAACTGCTTCTGAACTTCAAGCTGCACGAAATAGTTGGCCATGGCTCAGTAAAACTTTGTCTACTATAAAAGAAGCGACAAACAAGCGAGAAGTTATAGGCCCTTCGTCATTAAGAGATTTAAGACGCGAAAGTACTCCAGGAGATGACGTACATCATCATATAATAAATTCACGTAGCCGTGATAGTCGTGATAGTCTTAAGGAAATAGTGTAGTAAGGTAAGTGATTTTCTCACGACGTGTGCAATTATCCTTGAATATTGCATTTGAAAGTTATGATTATTTCGATGAAAACATCACAATAACAATATTTTTTTTAAGTAGGCCAAGATTAATAGAAGAGTAAATATGTATATGAGTGTGTACGTGTGTTGTGTGCGTGTGTGTGTAGACGCGCGCGCACTCGCGCACACACTAAATGAGACATTTATGTATTCGTTATGTTACATGACGCATGCATAACGTACCTACAATTAATGCAGCTGTATTATCTCTTACACTAATATTGTATTAATTTTCTTTTTTTTAAGAAATTGTTTTTTAATATGCTCATTTATTTTTATAAGTCCTTAATATGTTAAACGCTAAAAATAATAAAATTCTTTTTATTATTCTTTCATGAAATTACATAAAAAAGAGCATGGTGCAAATTTTCAAATAGTCCTAAGTTAGTCTAATCGAAATTAATGCTTTTGTCCTTCGATTGATAGAAGTGAGCAAAATCGAATGAGAGGAAACTTAAATAAGCAAATAATTAACTTTAGTCAAGTTTGCATATGAGAGCATAAAAAAATTTCATTATAAAAATACATGAAGAATGACATTGTCCATGCAGATAAGAGAAACTATTCGCTATAATAAATTATATTAAGAAACGAAAATATTTATCCCATGTTTTCTATGGTATTTATTTAAAATTTGAAAAATGGAAAATAGAAATGTTGCGAGAAATGTTCGTTCATATGTATGCGTATATTACATGTTTAAACTAAAGTATATATACACACAATTATTTCTTGGGCTGTTAAGGATATTTAAAAACAAAAAGGAAAAATAGAAAACAAGATAAAAAAGCTGCATTTATGCACATATTCTTTTCATTTACATTTTAGCTAATACATACAGCTCATATTAATACTTTAAGATAAAAAGTACTGAAGATAACTACTCACAGCCATACATCAAAAGTTAATGTACTATATCCCTTTTAATGTGTTTTGAATAATAAAAAAAGAAAAGGAAAAGGATAAAAAAAAAAAAAAAGTTAAGAAAAAGAAATAAATAAGCAGTAATGTAAGTAAGCACTAATTGTAATTACATAAGCACAAGTACCATTTGAATCTGATATGATGACTTTTAAAATCTTTATTTATATATTATTTATTTCGTAAACACAGTACAAGTCTTATATTAACTTTGCATATTTTCTTTTCTTTTCGTTCTCTTTAATAGTTTAAAAAATAATTGTGTATATGCAACATGGACATATATGTATATATACATACTCACTGATTGAATAGACAAAATTACACATTTATACAAATTGATATTTAACATATAAATACTAATGAAAAGAGATTAATCACTTAATTTACTTTTTGTACCGATTGATTTTATACGTGTTAAATTCACATTCCAAAGCTTTATGAAAGCAATACCATATTTATTGCCTGTCAATTAGTTTTAAGTAAAAGGGCCATTTATATGTTAAAATATTGATATAAATATCGTACATTAATATATTTTTCTAAAAATTATGGCAATCGTTATTTCCATTTATTTCAGAATGAAACAAATTTCCATATATCTTATAAGCATTTGGAAATATAAATTAATTAATATCATTTCATATCGCGTGAATTAAATATAATAAAGACCACTCTGTGTGTCATTAAGTTTTATAAATATATCTGTATACATGTAATCTGATCGTAATATAAATTTTAATGACGAGTTTTTTTAATAAGATCAGCCTTACAGTCTTACAAACGTGATTTTACTATAAATCATTCTCTCAATTTTGCAAATATTCATATAATATTATTAAATATAATCTGGAAAAATCAAGGTATATTATCTAGATAAGTTTGTCTTACCCAGATTTAGTTAATTTAGGGAAAATGCTAGATATTTAAAGATTCAAAGAATCTTGCCACAACGCACTGATATTAATGACAAAATATGCAATAGAAGAATCAATAAAATAACATACGTAGCTTCCAACATTATCTATATAAAATAATTGAACATATTTAAAGTGATTTCACACAAGAATTCTCAATTTGAGCTCGCGTCGAGGGTTATATACAATTAGAATGTTGACTTCTCTATAAATTGACAACATATTGTAATAATGGATTTTATCAATAATTAAAAAAGTTAGTTTGATTTCTAAAAGTTTCGTCAAATAGTAAAAAAATGTTTGTATGATTCTGTAACTATTTAAATTCTTTTGTGCCATTATTTTGTAATATATAAGTATTGGATTTTCTTTTATTTATTTTTTTCCCTTTTTAATTCTAACTTTGTTGTTATCTTTAAACTTAGTTTGATGGAACTTTCAGTTATCGATTATCGTTATTAATCTCGAATCTCATTATGAAATTGTGGATATTTGTTCTGTAAATATAAAATATATAATATTAAAAAAGAGAGATGAAGTACCATAAAATCGTAGAAATATAAAATATCTCGGAGCTTTAACAACAAACTATGGAAGCAAGCAGGAAAAATAAATAGAAAAGTATAATATAAGGGTTATTCCAATTTATAGAATACTTTCGTAGTTTGGATGGAAAGCTCTACCTCCCTATGTATATATAAATGACTAAATAAATAAATAAATAAATAAATAAATATATATATATATATATATATATATATATATGTATGCGCGCGCGCGCGTGTGTGTGTGTGTATATATATATATATATACATACATACATACATATGTGTATATATATATATATACACGCATACACACACATGTGTATTTGTAGGTATATACGTGCACGTATACATACGACATACGTACATATACTCACGTATATAAGCGTTTATTTTATCACTGTAAACCCTGTAACATTATAGCAAAATTACTGAAATAAATATCACATCTCTGTACTATTTGTAAGATGCTCTTTTTAATTAAACATTCTCTTAACAGACCATAAATTGTGTAATGTATGGAACATATGAAAGGATTTTGGTAAATATAATGACATAAATATCTATAATATTTATACAGAATTGTTACATTGTTTATTTGTCAAAGATAATAATGAAATTAAATGATACACACAATAATGAAATTAAAAAGATATGTAGTCTCAGTCTCATACAAAGTATTTTTCCATTAAACTAATTATGGATTTAGCATATGTGTAAGTATAAAACAAATATAATATTAGTTCTTTTAAAAATATACGAATGAACACTGTTCTAAACTACTCTTATCATATTAATACTGGGGGGAAAAAAAAAAAGAAATAATAATTATTCCTGAAAATAAACTTGCTTAATCAGTATTATATATAATAAATTTTTAAATAATGAAAGAAAAATCGTATATCATAAAAAAATATATTCGTGCAAACTTTGGTATTTTTTAATACTTTTGCTTGATAGGGAAAAAAAAAATGAAGAAAAAAAAACCAGATTATTATTCATGGCTCAATGATGATAGGGCTCCTCCCTTCATATAGATGAATCATAATTTTTGTTCAGAAATACAAAAGTAAAAAGTATTAATCTACACAGATTATTAGTGATGAACTAATAACTGATAATAACACAGAATAATATGTATTAACATTAAATCCTATCATAAAAAATATTATAGGATATCCAATTTAAGGATCATTTTATCAAAGTATTATTGAAATTATTATATAAGAGATACAATTCAAAATGTTTCAGATAATAGTTGAAAAGTGTCAAGGAAGACAGCATGCAATCTACACCACCATAACGATAGAGATGATTAAGTGTGTGTTACAAATTATACTCCGCACGCGTCGTTAAACTTTTATATGAAACATTTAGTTATATCATTTATAATTTCAATGATATTTATGTGGACCGCTTCAAAACCGGATCACCGTGTATAAAATCAAAAAGTATATTTCATTGGATATGTTATAATAATATTTGTATAGAAAAAGAAAAAAAAAAAAAGATCAATAAAATGTAAAAATGTAAGAAAATTATTAATACCCTTAATTTTATAGCTCAAATTCGATAAATTGTATAGGCAGCAATGAATGATGATATGTCAGAATTTTTTTCCTCGATAGTATCACATATTTCTTATTACCCATTCATCACTGTCAGCATAACTGTTAAAAGAATAACGTACAGAAACGATATCTTCAAAATTGTTCGCTGTCTGTGTCATGCATTACTTCGTTATTATTATCAATATGATTTGCTTCCGTAAAATTACTTGATATTTCGTCATTATTTTGCTCGCTATCTTCTACGGAGGAATTGCTATCAAAGCCTTCATCGTGATCTATGCCCAAATATTCTTGGTCGTCTGTATATATAAAGCATGTGTAATATAAAAATATTAATCATTCAAGAATACATGTTATATATGAATTTACCTTCTATAAGATCAAAGGGGATCAATTCTCTGCGATCTCTTAAAATATGTCCATCAACAACATCTATTGGATTAGCCATTTCTAATATTCTCAATAGCCATATAGGAAAACCATTTTCAACGACATAAATGTCATTTTCATTTTCAAGATCGTTTTCCAAAACATTAATCAACGGTTGAAGATTTTCGATATCGTTATCGGCAACAGCTATCATATTATTACCTTCGTCATCCCTATTATTATTTGCAAGATCACCGTTTTCTATTACTACTGGTTCTAAATTTTCAAACCGTGGCGCTTCCGCTACACTTGGGGATTCTGAATCGGGTGCGATCCTATCATGCGCTATACTAGGTAGATCATATTCCGGTGTCATATCCGGTGCTGATACAGAATTTGGATAGCCAGAATCTATAATTTCTGGTGACCAACTATTTGGAGGAGTCTCTAAGGGCTCCGGAGAATTATGAGGCTTTATTTCTACAATGTTACCTGGAGATATTATACAAATTTGATTGAAATTTTTTGAATAATCCTTACATCCTGCAACGGCCTTTATTAAACATGTTTCAGACTGGATATCATTTAAATTTTCTGTTCCCTTAGATTGTAATATAATATCACTATCTTCTTTGGCACACGGGAGGTAAAGACATTTGATTTTATCCAAAGACATATTTTCCACATGATCCTCTCTTGGCAATATTGCTACTTCTTTTTCAACTATGTGGTTCTTTTCGATTGTATCACTTTTTGTTATTGCATTATAACTGTCGGTTCTGGATAGACTCGATGTAGTCGATACGTTAGTATCATTAAAATCCTTTAGAGAAATTTGACTAATACTTACTACGTCATTAGAAGGCGACAACGGTTTTTTATCGGCCAATCGTAAAGTTTTTGATATATCGCCGTTGCTTATATTTTCAGGCCTTAATGATTTCCGATTAGAATTTGGTTCTTTAGTTTTTCCAAGAACTCGTGGTGAACTTGTGTATTGCGGCTGATTTGTTGTTGATGCAGATGTGCAATCCTCTAGAACAAAATGATCTTCATAATTAATCTGTTTTTCCTCTGTATTTACTTGCTCAAGTTTTCCATTTCTTGCTTCTTCCAAATTAACAAATTCATCTCTCAATGTGTCTGACGAATGAAAAGTGTTATTCAAAAACGATGAATATGGCACGTCTTTATCTATAACTGTATCATCGCGATAGGAACTGTTCAATTGATCCAAATGAACCAATAGCGGTTGAGGCGACATCGAAGAGGATAATACTGTTGTAGAATGGTAAAAATCTAATGTTCTATTTAACCTTTCGTTAGGCTCTATAAATCTATTATTGTCATTGTTTACGTTTGAATTATTGGCTGTATCACCATCAGATAACATATAAAAATTAATTCCAAGTGATGATACATCATCATCATCATCATCATCATCATCATCATCATCATCATCATCATCAGCATCACCATCGGCATCAGCATCAGCATCAGTATCGGCATCGGCATCGGCATCAGCATCAGCATCAACATCAGCATCAGCATCATCTTGTAAAATGGGATTACTTGGAATTGAATCAACGGAAGATTCATGAACGTTCATATTGTCAGAAAGATCATTAATATTTGGTGATTCATGTTCACCATCAAACAAATAAGTATTGTTATGTTGTACGATAGAATTATTTTCAGGTATAATAACACTCGGTTCTTCGTCCCAGTTATCAGAATGCCAAGCTTCAATTGATTCCACCGTATTTGTATATCCATCGTAATAATCCAAAGATACATCTGAATCCTCAAACATTGTAATGCCATCTAAACAGCTACCTTCTACAGTACTTGTTTGTTTTGGAATAAATGTAGCAGGACCTTGTTTGTAATCAATTATGGTCCATCCTGCTTCTTCCAAAATTGTTCTCAATGATTCAATTGTAACATTAAATTTACTCAATAACGATACTAAAGATTTAAGCGACATTTCTCCTCGCATATTATCAAAAGATACAGATTCGTTAAGATGATAGATAACTTCGTCCAAAATCTTCTGTTCGTCCGAACGATTATCAATTTTAAATGGAAAATTATGCGAAGTTACGAGCTTAAATAAATTATCAATACCTAACGATTCTGAACCGTTCTCTTCGCTATTACGATGGAAAACTGCCATTTGAGTGCAAGCACCTAAATGCTCCGTACCTTTTGGCCCATTACAAATGCCATGGAATGTTACATGATAATCTGGATATCTTATAATAATATTTTGTCCCCTACAAATAAATATACACGTATATACGTGTACGTATGTACGAGTAATTAGAAGGTGTAAAAAGTTTACCAGTCTTGAAATTGTTCTCTAGTCCATTCAAACTTGTGATCTGGATGCCTGAGTCCGGAGAAATAAGGAAATAATTCATTAAAGTCTGCATTTGGCGTTGTTACAATAACTACTTTTGGTTTGATATAACCAAAGATGTTAAACGGAAAATCCGTTAATGCGTCCGGATACAAGTGTTCAATCCTAGAAAATTTCAATTACTAAAATTCAATTAAACAACTTCGACTAAATAAGAGACAATTATCATTTTGGTGATAACGCACAATTCTATGCAGATCACTGCATCGGCTTTCTCCAGTTTTTTATCATTGCTTGTAACGCTACCTTCGTAAACATGTATCTGAAGTGGACCTTTTCGAAAATGTATATAATCACAAATTAATGGCTTGGCTTTGCCTTTGTTATTTTCGAGAACACTTCTATCAATGTCTACGCATAATATTTCTTCTACATCGGAGATATGTTTTAGGTGAACCAAAAAGTTAAGATTTGCACAGCCAAAATCTACAATCTATAGAGACAATATGAAAATAGGTATTTAGAAAGAAATGGATAACATAATAGATTTGATTAAATTAATAAAAAAATATCTATGAAGAGGGATGACGATAAATTTCAAGATCTACATAAATAAATAAAGTGCACAACTATGAAAAAGGGATATTAATGTGGACCTTTCGTATCTTGCCATTATATTTATCACTGCAAAGTATATCGATCACTGTATTATATCTTTGGATGTAAGCTGGCGGAGAAAATTTTATTTTTTCGTTTTCGTCGTAATCCCGAAGTGTATCGGGATCTATCATGTTATAGATTTCATCCGATACAGTACGCAATGTTTTCATATTTTTCTTTTCTTTCCTACAATAACTATCATATACATACTTTCCAAAAAGATAAAATACATGAAATAAAACTAAAAACATTGTTAATTAAAGATACACAGTTAGGATGTTCACGAATATCAACGGAGAAATTTAATCGTATTATTTGAACGAACGACATCCATTTTACTACAATGCTACTTTAATGGCGGGCTCGCAAGCGTCATCTACCTGATGCGTGCGAAACACATATCTACATAGGTAGCGCGACAATCGATCGCACACGATCGTCACTGATTGGCCGAACGTATACTCCAATCGAACACGATTATTCGATACCCAATCAATGTCAATATGTTTAGTGCTTATTGTTAATGCCTCCATTGCAGACGCAGTTCAATAACCAAGCTGAGGTAACCTATTAAATTGGTCTAATTTTCCAAATTCTGTTTAATTTTTCATTATTATTGTTATTATTATTATTAGTAAATTTCTTTACATCTATCTTAATAACATCAACATAAAATATCAATAATGACGGTACAGGTGTGTGAGTGCGATTGTATTTTTGAGAATAGGGCTAGCGGTTAGCCAAGAGGAACATAAAGCGCAAATTTATACTATTAAAAAAAAACAATATGCTTATATACATAGCATCAAAAGTTATATTAATATGTTAAATTAATAATAGATTCGCAATTATGTACAGACAAACGTGTGAGATATAACAATGTATTTTCGTTAAAGTGCAGATTGTCAAAAGTTTTGTACCCTTATTTTGTGAAATACATATATAACCTATGATAACGTAAACGAAATATCATGATAAGTTTGAAGCGTCATATATAATTTTCAGTAAAATGACGTAAGATCTTTTATTAATCATTTTCAGTCGTATTATGAGAAAATAGAAAAGATTTTAAAGCAACTTTAATAGCCGCACGTCATTCGGATAGAAATGGCATGGTATTTTTATAAAGATTCTCCAAGATATTGGAGAAGCCAAGGAAATGCAGAGTTGTATAATGCGTTTAAATAATTGCATTGAATACATACATGTCACAGAAGTGATAAAATTACTGAGTATATAATCGTTCGAATTAAGCATAAATAGTTTTGTAAATCTATAAAACGCAGTAATTGTGAATTTTACAAAGATCGGTAAGGCTACTTATTAATGTAGAGAATAAAATTCATCACAAAGGATATATTTTCAATTTGATATTTAGAAACGTAAGTGGAAAGACGTGATGTTATGTATCCGTTATGTATGATTAGTTTATAGCGATATTTAGTGAAAAATTGCGAAATCTTGGAGTCGATACGAATTAAAATATCTATAGTACACTCGTTCATTTTTATAATATATATATATATATATATGTATATATATATATATATATATATATATATATATATATATATATATATATATATAAAGTTAAAGTTATAGTTACCAGTAATAATTTTATAGGATGAGATAATAATAAAGACGCATATCGCTCATCTTAAAGGTAAGCCTCTTTTAAACAATTAAAGGCCCTTCGATTAAACATTCTTTCGTTTAATTGAACGCACAGTAATATTTTTAATTGACAAAGATGTTCGATTTACGATGATACATAACGCCTTGTAATATTATATACTTGATGGTTTGCAATGAATCGTATTTAAATGCGACTCATTAGTAGCAAAGTAGTGAAGAGAAAAAAAAGTTGTTTAACATTTCGAAATAAATATTTTCAACTTGAAAATAGTTGAATAAATATCCTAGATAAATAAGCTCGAATTAATTGATTATTATGACAAGATATAAAATCGGCGATGAAAAATATGCAATGACACGCGCGTTAAATGCGCCTGAACTTATTACAAAAATTGATTAGGAAGGCAGGAAAGGGAGAATTTAGTTGTTAAAAATTTGTATATACCAGAACGATCGTTCTTTTGTCGAGAGTCGAACTTTCATTAGTTAAATAATAGAGTTTCGCATATAATAATATAAGACACTACCGACGTATCGGTCACATGTCTATTCATATCACATATATCTTTAAAGCGGTCCTTTTCTCTCTCTCTCTCTCTCTCTCTCTCTCTCTCTCTCTCCCCCCCCATCACACTCGTCAATTTTATCGGCATAAACCATGCACGATATCATCATACTAGAGTAAATATCACATGGAAGGATGAAATTTCGATAGAATGTGTAGCATTAGCACACCGCCTAAGTAGGAAAGAATTACCACAGATTTCGTAGAACCGAACGCGAACTATCGACGGTATTTCTCATTCGCGACGGTGATAATAATTTATAAATCTTCGGAAAAATAATTTAAATACTTTCATGGAACAAGTTCAAGCGTAGGATTGATCTAATGATATAGCTATTTTATTTCCTTTCTCTACCCAATTTCTTAGTCTTCCTCTAAGCTCCTCCAAACTCTTTGATTTTGCCTTATTTATCCTCTTATATTTTACGTCTTTTGGCTTTGTCACCGACCTGTGATTACTCATTACTCTATTGTACGTCACCTGAAACAAAAAGGATAAAAAGGATTCTATAGTATCGAAAACGAAATTCGAATGGCTAGTAAAGAAATGCACATGTGTCCACTTATCGAAAAATATCGGAAAGATCGTCGTTCTCGATCGTCGTTCACCTGAGCTTGTTGGCTCTCGTCTCTCGGTCTTTCACTTTCCAGAGAATCAGCTTCCTGTGCCAGTCTCTCGAAGCTACCGTAAAGCTCCTGCAGTCTGCCCTTCCCATTTCCAAAGTTCTTCGTCCGCCTCTCATCGCACTCGTAATTTTCCGTAGATTCGGATGGTTCCTGGTTGCTTTCACTATCGCCATCCTCTTCTACCGAATATACGGTTTCCAAGATCTCCGGTCTACGTAGAAAACCATTGCATCTTCGCATTGATGAATACTTGCTCGACGGCTCGACCGCATCCGATACCGATCGTATAACTGTTACGTCCGTGATGTTCGAACGAAATCTTGACGAAAGAAAACAAAAGAGATTTATAGATTTTTAATTTTTTCTTAAGACAGACATTCGCTAATGTTAACCTGGTTTTTTTTTTCCCCCACTAGGAAGAAGAATTTTATTTGGATTAAAACTTGGGAGAATTTTGTCGTATCTCAATATATACACAATCTCAAATGATTCTCGTCTTTACTAACTTTATAAAAACGTTTTTCGCAACGATGTGAGAGTATAAGAAGCTTCCCGCGCGATCCTGCCTACAAATAGTGACCATCAAGGATTTTTTTTCTTTTTCTTTTTCCTTTTTTTTTTTTGTCAGGAGGCGGAGCCAGCCTCTTCGCTGGATCGGATGCCGGAGACGGTCGGGCTGTCTCTGGGTTGCGTTTAGATTGCGAAGAGAACTAACGCATGCAAGGAGATCTTTCGTATCTCGTTAAATATCTTAATGTTTTCAACGGTTTGTTATAAAAGAGCCCTTCTAAATGAAAGTCTACATTATCAAGAAAGGTAGGTGCATACGCGTGTTTATGTTATAATGTTTACCTTGGTGGTGCCGGGTCGTCCGCGGCTTCCTCGAGTACGACGGCGCTGTCGCTGTCTCCGAGACTGTCCAGTCTATCGAGAGCATCGCATGGAGGAGAGTCTCTTGTACCTGTACCACTCCTTTCCGCCAGTCTACTTTGCAATTGCCGTATCACTCTTTGTTGCCTGAGAATAATCGATTCCCGTTGCACCAGGCTCGCCTCGATTTCTTTCTGCTTCCGACAAAGTCGCGATTCGAAGAGAAATAGTTGCGAAGACAATGTGCATAATTGTTCGGCCTTCTCTCTCGTTAGTCGCGCCACAAGCTCCTCCTGGAAAACGTTCAAGTAACCCATTTATTTATTATTTATTACACGCGAACCTTTCATAATCCGCTTTTATTTTTTTGGAATCTTATCAAAAGCGTTGCATCCGTAGGGAATCTTACCTGCAATTTAAGCGTTCTCCGCCAAGCTAGCATTTGATGTGCCTGTGCCCTCTGTTTCGCCCTAAGCGCTGCTATCACTGATTTCGCTTCCTCCAATGATGTCACTTCCACATCATTTCCTTCTTTTACCACTTCCTCTGAAAAATCATTTACCCTATCTTCCGTTACCGTCACCAACGGGTAGCTGTCCATCGATGTTTCGTCGAAACTGCTGCTGCAAGGGAAAGCGTAAATTCTATCATTCTTGTTTACGTTGCAAGTTAAGAATGTTTACCTCTATCAAGTGATATCATATTTTGATCGGAATCATTTTTCTTAGACACATCTTATTTAAGATGTAATAAAGACGTCCATAGCAAGAAATAGGATGATATTATTTAATACGAATGCGATGGGGTATTGGGTAGGATCGATCGATATTTTCGAACTTTTTCGAATCCGAGCCGATTGCCCGCAGGCTTCTGTCCATCGATCAAAACGCTTCGCTTTCTCAAGTTAAGTAAGTAGACGGAAAATATATTTAATATCAAAATAATTTTAATCACCGCCGAAAGATTCCGGCGGAAAACGTGACAAAAATATCGTAAAAGAGAATATTGAGTTACGAACGAAATATAATTTTACTATACGTATAAGTAAACAATCGTCATATGTTTGTTGAGAACACACAGGTATAAATAGAATACTCATCTGTGTACATCGATTCTAAGGAGCAGACAAATATATATATATATATATATATATATATATATATATATATATATATATATATATATATTAGAATTTATTATTATGATATTATTCTTTTTAATATATGTTAAATTGGAATCGTTTATTCTTTCTTTTTTCTTTTTTTTCCCTTCTTTTTAGCAAAATAAATAAGACGAAATATAGAAAAGTCTTTCCCTTCCTAAAAACAGAAAATAATCCTTTTTCAGTAAACAACGTGAATATTTTTAGTTTCTGGAAATAAACTTTTGAATACATCGACAACTGATACCATGCGATGTATTGAAAGGAAATACTGAGGTGCAATGTTGCAATTAATAGAGAATATATAGAAATTTATTATATGATACAAAACATCATTTATAGTCATTCATTAGGATACAGAGTAAAAGTTTTAAAAGTGTATAATATCTATTATATTTTAACGATATTATGTAATGTAAGAATAACACTAAAAATACGCGCGATACGATGGAAGCTTTACAAATAAACATCCATCGGGACGAACTTAGTAAAATATTTAGATTCAGAGATGAGAATTTTAAAATAGTAGGCACATTTGTGCTATTAAAACGGGACAACTTACCACCGCTCTATTGGGCTCTTAGTAGAATCGAAAAGATCCATCCAGGGACGAATGATGTTGTCGGATTGTCGTGACAGTTTCAACGGGAAGAAGACTGCTTAAAAGATCAGTCTTTCTTCGTTACCTAGAAAAAGTGAAAATTGATTACTTGTCGATTCTATCGCGATTAGAACTTTCTCACTCGAGTATTAGTTAATATTTATGATAAGTGTACGACTTGACTTATTTTATTATATACCTTATACATATTATCCTGTATACTTACCTTGCTATATTGCTCAGTTTTGATACTTATGTATTTCGCTTGATCGTTTGATTATTTCATTCCGAGTTGCTATCTAGTCTTAGAAATAGAATAGTTATAGTTTTGAAAGAAAGTTTTTCGATGAGTATAAATGTTGATAGAAAGTGCACAGGTAAAAACAAACAAGAACAAGGACGCAAGGACTTGAAGTAAATGGGTGCAAGAATGTTGATTGAACTTATGTTACAAGTGCGATAAACAATCCTATCAATGTACGCAGCTAAAAAGCAGACATGATAAGATAAATAACATTCCCTGTAATGACATTTGTTAAATTTTCAATTATAAACGACAATGATTTTATTCGCGATGTCTAATGATTAATTTGCAAATCTCATGAAATAAACATAGATATTTCTCTTCGCAGCTCAACAAAAAAGAATTACTTTTGGCCAATGAAATTTGTAGTTGGCATTAGAGGAGAACACGGCGAGTAGTATCTTCTTACCATCCTTTTCCTCGATTTACCTCCCTCCCTCCCTCCCTCCCTTTCTCTCTCTCTCTCTCTCTCTCTCTCTCTCTCTCTCTCTCTCTCTCTCTCTCTCTCTCTCTCTCTCTCTCTCTATTTCTCGTAGAGCTTCTTGGATGCTGGGAGGTGTAAAAAAGAGAAGGACGGTGTATAGATCACGCACGTATGAGGTAGATTGCGGGGTGCTGGCCAATCATGAAATCAGGTACACGTGCAGTACCAGACGGTGTACACCGTAGGATACGTCTTATTATAGAACCCACGGGGTTCCACCTTGCGTTTAAGAAGAAGGTATCGGCCATTCTTTCTTTCTCCTTCGAGCTAGCCTAAGCGAAAGAGATAGATAGATCGATAGATGGATAGATAGAGAGAGAGAGAGAGAGAGAGAGAGAGAGAGAGAGAGAGAGAGAGTGAACAGGCTTGAAAGGAATGAAAAAGCAATGTTTCTATGGTCGAGCGTAGAGATGCTTGCGAGAAAGAGAGAAAGAATATTACAGAGGTGTGTCTACCGACCCACGAGGTCAACATTGTTACCTTCATTATTGGTATAGCCCTGAACACAACTTTCTTCTTATGTTTCTTTTCCTTCTTTTATATCTTTCTTTTCATTTTCATCATGTATGAGCATAATTAGTGAAAATTGTAAAAAGGGGACACAACAAATAAAATCAATAAAGAAGAATTTATTCTAGAAACATACTGAAACTGTTGTGTAAGTGAAAATATTAATAAAATCATGAAATTATTAACTAATAAAACTATTGGATACTAATTGGAAGTAATTAAATTTAAACTGACTTTAAATTTAAATAAAACTCCAAAAGCGGCATGTGAATTCTCTCTCTCTCTCTCTCTCTCTCTCTCTCTCTCTCTTGCCCTTAAGCATTTCTATAATACATCGTCGCGTAGAAGAAACGAAGTAGGCGATAAATTTTCGTTCTATGGTGAGCACGCGTGCGCACGAACCTGTATTCCCTTTATTTACTACGAAACCGATACGCGATATACAACAGCGAAGGTGCAATATTCCGGCAAAAAGGCGCGAGATGATGTATCCTGGGCATCGCGCAATCAATTACTTTCCCCTGAGATGCACAGTATGTGTATTAAACAGAAAGAGCGTATATCCCGTGTCTTCTTAAAGCTCTCACAAAGTCGATTGCCATTTTTTTCACTTTGACTCAATGCTCGTCTTTGGAAGAAAGTAGAAGTGTCGTTAGCATATTAGCAGCATGAATGATGGCACGACATTCATTTTCCACGTGACTGGCAGCAAAAAGACCAACTACTTTCCTTTTATTAGACGATCGCAGTTGGTTTATGCGTCTTTTACTGGAGTTTGGAAGCGTAACGCTTAAAGTGCCACCATGAAACGAACAAAATGCAAAGGAAGAGACAAAGTAAAAGGAAAAAGAGAGAGCGAGAGAAAGACCTTTAGAACATCGTAGATGTTCACATCTTTAGTTAATTACTTGTATTTTCCGCCTCTGGCCATCAGCTCGGAAACTCGAAAACTCTGATCTCTCTCTCTCTCTCTCTCTCTCTCTCTCTCTCTCTCTTCCCCTCTTCTCCTCCTTGCGATTTATCCTCAAGACGGCAAATAATCTATCACGATAGATAAGCCTGTATTAGTTGCCTTAAGCTTTATCTGAATGTCGTATCGACGCAGTGGCCATGGATGAACATTGAACGTGCATGCGGTTATCGGAACTTCTTCTTGCTTTTCCTTCTTCGACTTTGCTACTTTTACAGGATCGTTGTCTCATCGTTGTTTTTTTTTTTAACTGAACTAAAGAAGTAGCCCTTCGCTTAAGAAAGAGTCAAAATGTACCTCTAATCGTATACAAGCGGATCCGTTCTCTTTATTTTCTTTTTCCTCTACTTTTCTTCGTTTTCTCTAATTCTCTTTGTTTATCTGAGGCCGAAAGAAATAACATCGATTTCTTTCTCTCTTCCTCTCTGACGTTCTAGAAATATACACGATCTTACTAATTTTTCCAAATCCATCGTGGAAAAGAACTCATCGTCGGCAAGTTCATTATCGCTCGAGCAACACGATATCGTGCCTATTTCTCGATCTTAATCTAACTTTATCTCCTCGGTAAGATAAAGTATATTTTACCCCTTCCCCATTAAAAATCCATTCAATTTGCAATCTATATTGAGCCTATATAGAATTCTTGAAAAATATTATTTACCGATTGATTCATTATTGGTCGAGAACCAACAGAAATGAGAAAAAAAGGCTCTCTTTTTTTCTATCTTTTCTTGAAAGCTTTCATTTCACTGGTAAATTCGTGCTATGGTCACGCATCATCGCACTCATCTTAATATAGGCATTAAATTGTCACACGTGCCGCGAATGCATTCAATGTATATGTGTAGGCACATACGTCATAGGGCATACGCTCTCACTATTATCTACGTTGAGTTAACGAGGAGCAGGATAGATCCGATTATCATAGAAATCATCGACGAGATAATATACTACCTTTCATCGGCTTTAATTCGTGACGTAAAAGCATACGTCGAAATGAAAAATGAGCTTTTTTCGTTTTCAACGCGAAATGATTCTTTCTCAGGATTAACATTTGCTAGTATTTTGTGCTTTTTTCCCTCTCATCTCTTTTCCGTATCCTTCTACTCTTAATCTATCTTTTTTCTTTTTTAATAGCCTGCAGTGACCCGCTTTCCGCGATAGAATTTTCAAGTGCGCTCGAAATTAGCACGGGTTAGCTGCTATTGCCACGCACAACATCGACCAAACGACTTTCCAGATGCTTACTTTTGATGTTAATTACGCTTTGGCGCCGTGTATGCGCGAGTTGCATCGAGAACAAAGTGTTGATTAATTAACGAACGAAGGAAATACTTTTAAGTTCAACGTTAAATCGAGTAGATATTTAGATCCAAGAAATCGAGAGTAATTACGTCGCTTAATGACGTAAGCGTAAGCAAATATAACAATACTCGTATTACGTTTGTATGTGTGTGTGTACATACTCGTAATAACAATGAAAATAAAAAAGATCGTAAAACTTAATATTCCCAAAAATACTGCACAATTTTAAGATTAAGTTTTCAAACGCTTCTTTCGAATGGATGTTTTACGATAATCGTAATCGACGACTTTTCGTTAGCTTCGAGGACGCAGAATTTTTCGAAACACGAACGTTCTCTATCTAAGGGATCGAGGTTCACCTCTACGTTAGGTAACGTTTGTTCCTAATTTTCTTTTTTATTTCTTTTTTACGATCTTGCAACGTGGTATATGTCGATTGAGAAGAACGCTTCCAGGCAGCGACGGCCTTTAAATCTACATTCATTTCGAATTATGATAGAATATCGACTTGGTGGATGATAGAAAAATCAATTTTCAAATAACATAACGAGAGTTTTACGTTCTGCGTACATATTCTTGTTTCTATGCAATAAGTATATTTCTTCGTCGGAAGTATTGTTAGTTTTCTTTACGATATCTCGGTAAAAGCATTGAGGAGAAATTTGTAAGTCGCAAGACTTCTCCTTTGACTTTCCTTCCTTTGAGAAAACACGTACCATGCTAATTAGAGTAGATATGTACCTACTTCCCAAGGCGATTCGAAGATATGAATCTTTGCGTAGACTAGCAATGGATCGCTTTTTGTGGAATAGACTTTCCGTTATAAAACTATTGAGTGTTTCCATCTTCTTGATCTTGCCTGCGATACGTACCTGCAACAGAGGAAAAAAATGGCTTCACCATCAAAATACAACATTCGACGTTTTTCCAATAACTATTTGCAAATAAATTTCAAGCCCTAATTGCTGAACATTTAAGCGATTCGTTGTTTCCATTCGCAAACGAGGTTTCTCTTTCTCTCTTCTCATTCCCTTTATCTATCTCTATCTATCTCTCCTTTCCAAAGGAGCGCTCGTTAGGGTGAATTCGATGCGGCATAGGCACGACGAGTGAAGAAAGAAAGAAAGAAAGAAAGAAAGAAAGAAAGAAAGAAAGAAAGAAAGAAAAGGAAAGGGGAAGGGAAAGAGAGAGAGAGAGAGAGAGAGAGAGAAGCGACTCGTCGTTGTAGTTAGAGTCTGGCGATCGATCGAAAGGATATATCGCGGCCGCCACGCTACGAACAAGAAGGTTTCTCCACCGGGGACAAGAAGGTAATCCCCTTTTGCTCGTACCTCGAGGACACCGGATACAAGCTTGCATTACTGGCGCGCCATCGTGAAAAGCGATCTTCGTTAAAGAGAGAATATTTTGTCGAAACGAGCAAAAGGTCTTTTCCTCCTCCACCTCGACTGCCTCGTTAAGGACTTTGATGTGCGTCAACTATATCTATAATAATAAGAAGAGGATCGT